TAGGCATGAGCACCCAGTCAGCTCTATACTTGTATATTTCCCACTAGTGTTAGCCCCAGGAGGACAAGGTCAATGTCTGTAATTCACTGATGTCTCTCCAGCTACCTGCCCAATGTTTACCACATGGTAGCAATTCAGTGTATTTGCTGAATGAAGACAATGACAAATGCCACTGTGTGATACAGACCCACAGTACAGGCTCTTGAAGAGGGGCTTACAGTAACTGGCAGGGAGGCGGTACCACTCCATGTGACTAGAGCAAGAGAAGAAAGCCAAAAGAGAGAGTAACCGCTTGAGCAAAAGTGACAGAGCAGGCTGAACAAGATTTCAACTGGTGGTGCTTTGATCTAACTCATGATTATACTACAGTTATAGCACCTACAGGCCCCTCTTTTTTTTTTTAATAAAACAAAACAAAAAAAACGTCGTTTTACAGATGCTGACAGGTACTTCACTTTTTGAAGAAAGAGTTACAAGGCTTAGGAGGAAAAAAGCATTAAGGTCCAGACTGCAAGATATGCCTGGGGATGGGGGTGGGGCAGCAAAAATGACCAATCTGACTGAAGAGGCAAATGTAAAGAAGAAAACTGAGTGAAGTCTGGCTGGTAGGGAAGGAAGGGGTCTCATCAAGGAAGACTTGCAATGTCAGGTTTTCTGAAGACAACATAGCATTGTGAAAAGTACAAAGGATTGTGAATCCTTGTACAAAAACAGGTTTTGCCACTTCCCAACTATGTAACCATAGGAAAGTCACTTTTTCTCTCTGAGCCTCTAAATTGGAGCTACAGCTTAGTTCACAAGATTATTAGCTTTGAATTTTAAAATGTATGCAAAGCCCCACTTAGCAGAGTGACTAGCCCACAAAAGATAAGTCAGCAAATGTTATTTTCCCCTCTTCCTGGTACAGAACGGCATAGGAGTAGAACTTTGGGTAATGAACTTAACAGTGGATTCCTTCAATCTTTACCTCACCCAATCTTTTGGAGCCCCTGCTTTGCTGGGCACTATAGGAAACTACAGTCTCAGTGGAGACAAGCGAAGGCATTCACAGTAACTTTGAATAATAATGAAGAGACTGACCCACAGTCACCCAGCAGTTCAAGAGGAAGAGAAGGCTTCCGGACTGATCAGAGGCTTCATAAGAGACAGCATTTCATTACACCTCAGTGGAAGAATTTGATTTGAGTACGATGTCAGATAGATTGGAGAAGAAAGGATAGGCCAGGCACAGTGACTGATGCCTATAATCCCAGCACTTTGGGAGGCTGAGGTGAGAGGGTTGCCTGAGCCCATGGGTTTGAGACCAGCCTGAGCAATTTGTGAGACCTCATCTCTACAGTAAATCACAACATTAGCCAGGCATGGTGGCACATGGCTGTAGTTCCAGCTACTTGTAAGGCTGAGGCAGAAGGAACACCTGAGCACAGCAGGTCGAGGCTGCGGTGACCATGAGCGTGCCCTGGGTGACAGAGTGAGACTCCAACTCAAAAAAATAAATAATTGGGGTTTTTTTGAGTTGGAGTCTCACTCCATCGCCCAGACTGGAGTGCAGTGGCAAGCCCCAACGATCCTTCCGTCTCAACCTTCCAAGTAGCTGGAACTACAGGCGCACGCAACCACACCTGGCTAATTTTTTATTTATTGTACAGACGGGGTCTCGCCAAGTTGCCCAGAAGGATCTTGAACGAGCGGGCTCAGGCAATCCACTCACGTTGGCCTCCCAAAGCGCTGGAATTACAGGCTGAGCCACTGAGCCTGGCCTAAATAAATTTTTAAAAAAGAAAGGATAGAGATCAGAGGCAGAGAGGCTATTGTTGTAACCTTTCTAGAACTCCTTTTCTCCATGAGGATCAAAATATCCATAGCAGAGCCTTGAAGTAAAAAAGCCCATTTTGATCTCAACTTTGCATCTTACTAGCTATGTACCTCATACCACCTGATACTGTTTTCCCTATGTTAACAATATTAACATTCCTACCTTCCAACGTTGCTGAAAAGATTCATGCGAAATGCCCAGAACACAGTAGGTATTTGAAATGATTGTTTATCATCCAGCCTAATAAATGAGGTTTTTTTAATTCCAACCACATGTGGGACCTAAGTTTTTATTTTTATTATTTAAGAGACAGGGTTACACTCTGTTGCCCAGGCTAGGGTGTAGTAGTGTGATCACAGCTCACCATAACCTGAACCTCATGGGCTCAAACAATCTTCCCTTGTGGCTGGGACTATACTATCAAATCCAGCTAATTAAAAAACAAAAAAGTTTTTGTAGAAAAGGGATCTCATTATGTTGCTCAGGTTGGTTTCAAACTTCTGGCCATCCTCCCAACTCGGCTTCCCAACTGGGTTTTATAATGAAAGATGATCCATAACGTCCCACCCAGTTCTGAATCACAATGTTTGCTAGCCTAATGGTGGGGAAGGTCTCCTAAGAACTAAGGACCCTTTCAGTCTCTGAATGGCAGTCTCTAAGGAGGTATAGGAAAAAGGTGTGGGGGCCTGACAGTCCAAACACAGCCTACTTTATCTTAGAGCTAAGAGGAATCCTGGGCTCCCCAGTCCCAAGTGACTTAAGATGGTCAAGTATTTTCCCAACAATAGCTCCATTAAGAATCTTACGTCTTCCCTGAAGTAAGAAATGTACTTTTGGGAAGGATTTGCAGAGCTATTGGAAATTTGAAGCAGCTGCACCAATAAATTTAAACATCCCTTTCCAAGTATAGTTTCAATTCTAAGTGAAATAAAAAATGCTGAAAGTGTCCTTAGTGTCTCACTTCCATTTTGTCTTCTAGTCTCAACCCAAACGAAAGCATGGCAGAAAAGAATCATGAACAAGGATTTAGAGTACCTGAATGCTACTTTAGTTGCTGTCACTGATTTTGCTATGACCTAGAAGAGCTATTTCATTTCCCTGGATGTTAGTTTTCCCTGCCATAACATAAGATGACCCCTTAACTAAACTTCAAAACTTTATCTTGACCAGACAAGCTTTAAAACATTTTAAGTGTAAACTGGAAAAAAACCTTTTACCACACAGCAGAGAAGCCTTCCAGGCCTATGTGTAATCTAGAGCTCCGTCTCAGGGTCCTTCAAAGAACCTCATTCATCATTTATGGGGCTAATTTCAATCCAGTATGTCCATATTTCCCCATATCCGTTCCCAGACCAAAGGAGCTTTACATCACTGAGAACTCTGAATCCAATTAAAACATGTAATTCAAAACCTACACTTTAAAATTGAGGGACTAGGACCGGGTGTGGTGGTTTATGCCTGTAATCCCAGTACTTTGGGAGGCTGAGGCAGGATTGCTTGAGCCCAGGAGTTTTGAGACCAGCGGAGGCAACATAGCAATACCTTGTCTCTCTACAAAAAATCAGTCAAGCATGTTGGTGTGTGTCTCTAATTCCAGCGAATTGGGAGGCTGACAGGATGTCAAGGCTGCAGTGAGCCATGATTGTGCCACTGCACTCCAGCCTGGGCAAAAGAGTAAGACTCTAACTCAGAAAATAAGTAAATAAAATGAGGGATCTGAGCCTCAAGTAGCATTCTCCCCAGAGCTTTAGCAGCATTGGCTCTGCTAGAGCCCACCAGGGTGCAATTAGAATTCTGAATTCGAAAGCTTGGTGGAAGCTGTCCTCTGTAGCTTACTAGCTGTGTGAATTCTAGAGTTCCACACCCTTGCACCCCAGCTCCCTCATCTGTAAAACCGGGACATAACCTTTCAGAAGACAGCTATAAAGTGAAAATGTGGTAACTGTGAAGGACATTCCAAATATAAGAGCAATTTTTATGTCTACTGTTTATCAAAACCAATGTCTTTGCCACAAAAAGCTTGTAGCTTTAAGATATTGACCTACTAATTGAAGTGAAACTCAACCACTTTAGCCTAAAATTAGGCCAATTTGAAACAGGCTTCCTGAGCAGTATTTATGTAAGATCATACATCTACTTCAGAATGAGAAAACAGGTTAAGCTGCCATGCTTAAGTTACATGCTTCACCACAATAAAAATTCATCAGTATAGGACCAAGCTTTAGTTAAGAATAAGATGTTTAAGATCTCTGTGAAGCCAGGCATGGTGGCTCAGCCTGTAATCCCGCACTTTGGGAGGCTGAGGTGAGTGGATTGCCTGAGCCCGCGTGTTCGAGACCTGCCTGGGCAATTTGGCGAGACCTCATCTCTACAATAAATCAAAAAATTAGCCGTGCGTGGTAGCGTGCGCCTGTAGTTCCAGCTACTTGGAAGGCTGAGGCGGAAGAATCCCCGGAGCCTAGCAGGTCAAAAAAAATAAAGATCTCTGTGAAACTGAACCAATCCACCTAACATTCTTTCCTAGGTACACTGGAGGTGATAAAAATTGTGAGGCTGGAAACCACAACCATCAGCAGGCCATTTGATGATGCTGACTCTCAAGAGACCCCTTGGGGTCAAGCAAATGGGGAGAATGTTTAAGGGGTTAGGCTTCAACAAAAAAAAACTGGGTGAGTTGTTTTGTTCTTCTATTAAAAGAATAAAGTTTTCTTAACAATAATCACTAAAGATTATTCCAGGGCCCAAGGCTCCAAGTTGTGCCCCTAATTAACATTTTATTACACCTAATACCTAAGAACACATATAAACTCAGTATTTACCTTGTGTTAAAAATATCAGCTAACCCAGGGTTAGGCAACGCCCTCCCCCAAGTTAAACACAGACTACAACCTTTCAGAGTTGCTATTCTGTAGAAGACCACACTTTGCTAAGCTAGGCTCATTTACAAGCATCAGTTATCAAAAAGATAAATCAGAGAGTCTATGTCAGCTGGGTTCACAAAAAACTATTTAAAATCCGTGAGTGTCATGTATGTGCTGCAAAATATGTAATGGAATCAGACAGCAGGAAAACTTGGATACCATACTATAAATGCTTCAAGGTTTGAGAGACTCAAACCAGAATTCAAATGGAGACTGGTTACAAACCAATTTGGGACGGAAAAGATAAAGCCCATACACACAGATAATATCCCCAAAGCAGCATTTATTTATCCATTGAACTCCAAAACATTTATTTTAGAAGTCTGGCATTTCATAATCACCCATCTTGATTGACATGGGCTGACACACATGGCGCTGTCAGGATACACAAGGACAATAGCCAAAGAGTTACAAAAAAATAAATCCATGATTCTTAAACAATCGCAACCAAAAAAAAGTTACAAGTATCAAAACTTTAGATGCATTGCACTGAAAAGAAGGTTTGTGCACGTCATAATTTAAAGAGGCAAAACAAGGAGCTACTGAAACCTCACGTTAAAGTTTATTATAAAGCTGATGGAAAGGAGCACGTTGTCTCTCAGTATCAGCTTCCCTTAACAGTTTTCCATTATTTGAAGAGGTGGGAGGGGTGAATTCATTTTTGCATGCACAAGATGTACTGCTTAACAAAACACTATCAGCTTGTTTTAAATGGATCTTTTAAATATCAACTGTAGCCTGTGTTGACTAATTCTCCTTTCTAATCTCCCCCATTACTTTTGCCTGAATTTCCCACAAATCAATAGGCACAGTAATATGCCTCATTCAGAACACATTTCTTTGCACAATTCAAAAAGGGAGGCTCCTGGGCTCAAAGCCACCATCAGTCCAGCAATGCCCATGAAGATTGATCTGAAACTGCTTCCCAAGGGACAGGAGAGCAGATCTGAGTAGCTGTGCTGCCAATACAGATAGGTTTAGCACTAGATATTTAGTGATTGTGGCAAGGAAGAATTGGTGATGATGGGTGTGGTGGGTGAAGGAAGGGCCAGGGACCCGAAGGATCTTCAGTTGCCTTCTCCTGCTTCTTCATCCTGCTGGTCACTCGTCCAGAGGGTGAGGTTGTCTCGCAGCAACTGCATGATGAGCGTGGAGTCCTTATAGGAATCCTCATTTAGTGTGTCCAGCTCAGCTATGGCATCATCGAAGGCTTGTTTGGCTAAGAGGCAGGCTTGCTCAGGTGCATTCTGAATCTCGTAGTAGAACACGGAGAAGTTGAGGGCCAGGCCCAGCCGGATGGGGTGCGTTGGCTGCATGTGCTCTTTGCTGATTTCAAAGGCTTCCTTGTAGGCTGCTTCAGAAGCTTCGACCACACTGTTTTTCTTCTCCCCAGAAGCTACCTCTGCCAAGTAGCGGTAGTAATCACCTTTCATTTTCAGGTAAAACACCTTGCTCTCATATTGGAAATCATTGCAGTTCTTGATGAGGAACTTGTCAAGCAGAGCCAGGACATCATTGCACACTGTTTCCAGCTCTTTCTCAATCTTCTCCCGGTAAGCTTTAACTTTCTCCAATTTCTTTTCATTTCCATCAGCCATGGTTTTCTGCTCAATGCTGCTAATGACCCTCCAGGAAGATCGTCTGGCACCAACCACATTCTTGTAGGCCACAGAGAGAAGATTTCGATCTTCATTGGAAAGAGGTTCATTCAGCTCCGTCACCTGCAAAACCCCAAAAAGATAAACATTGAGAGCAAAGTCTGAAAATCTTGGAAAGAAAAGAACAGAATTATGGACAAGTCACTCTGGAGAATGAAAACCACTCATGGACAAAACCAATATAGACATGGATCCTATCTCAAAGATAGCATAATACCATAGATAAACACTTAGAACTCTAAACAGAAAATGACGGGGACTTGAGAAACTCATAATTCAACGTCTCGTAAGACGTTGTTTTCACCTTAGTAGAGGAATGGGATAAAAATACTTATGAAAAGGTTGTGACACAGTTATATAAAATGGTGAGGAAGAAAACCTTGAGGTTCAGCTCTTCAAAGATGACTGGAAATTTTTCCAGATTCTACTTCCAGCTTTATATTCTGGAAAGAACCAGTCACTCCTCAAATATGTATTAAAAGATAGATAGAAGCTTCACAGATAAGATCAAACATCACACAGATCTAGTAACCAGAGCTCTGCTCCGTGTGGGTACACATGGAACTCAACTGATAGTCCCAGCCCTACCTACCCTAACCAAAAGGAAGAACAATGCATCGGTTATCCTGAAGTGCCCCCAGTCCCTGGTGAAAGGAAGCATAGCTATTCAGCAGCAGACTTTACTCTGATGTGCCTGACTGGCCATCAAGGATAGAAGCATCAATTATTTTAAATGGAAGAGTTAAATTTCTTAAGCTATAACTTCCCGTGGTTTCCATGATGTCAATTATAAGTGAACTTAGCTATGCAGTTAGTAGAAAGAGCACCAGACTGTGCTGTGGGTTGAAATGTGTCCCCTAAAAATATACATCAAAGTTTGGCTAGGCATGGTAGATCAAGCCTATAATCCCATCACTTGGAGGCAGAGGTGAGAAGATTGCCTGAGCCTGAGTCCAGGGGTTTGAGACAAGTCTGGGCAACTTGGCGAGATCTCACCTCTACAATAAGTCAAAAAATTAACTGGGTATGGTGTTATATACCTGTAGTTCCAGCTACTTGGGAGTCTGAGGTGGAAAAATTGCCTGAGCCCAGCAGGTTGAGGCTGCGGTGGCCACGATAATGCCACTGCACTCCAGTTTGGGTGACAGAGTGAGGCTCTAATTTTAAAAAAAAAAAGTTTAGGTCCCAACTATATATATAACTAGTTAAAATGAACTTATACTGGGTTAGGATATGCCCTAAATCCAATGACTAGTGTCCTTATAAGGAAAACAAGATTTTGAGACACACACAGGGAAAACACCATGTGACAACAGAGGCAGAGACTGGAATGATACAACTACAGCCAAGGAAAGATTCTTCCCTAGAGCCTTCAGAGAGAGCATGGCTCTGCCAACACCTCAATTGCAGACTTCCAGCCTCCAGAACTATGAGAGAATAAATCTGTTAATTTTGAGCCACTCAGTTTGTGGTACTTGGTTCAGTAACTCAAGGAAACTAATATAAAATTAGAACCGGAAAACCCTAGTCTGATTCTAGCAAAGCCAACTAACTTGCTAAATTGACCTAGGACATTTCACAACCCTCCAAAAGAGGCTATATCTTCTACAACATAGAAAAATTCCTTAATATGACCTACCGGTAAAGGCCTTTAATTAAAAAAAAAAAAACCAAAGCAATTAGGAAACCATAAAATACTAAACAAAAAATGTATCACTCAAACCAAACTATACAGACAGAACTTCCACCAGTCGAGAGTGAAAGCCAAGCTCAATGGAGAAAGTTATCAACTGCATATTGAATGAGATATGCTTTAAATGGATTGAGAAGGGCAGGAGTGGTGGCTCACACCTGCAAATCCCAACACTCTGGGAAGCCAAAGCAGGAAGATTACTTGAGCCTAGGAGTTCAAGACAAGCCTAGGCAAAATAGCTAGATCTCGTCTCTAAAAACAAATTATTAAAGAATTAGCCAGGCATGGTGATGTGTGCCTGTAGTCCCAGCTACTGGGGGGGGGGGGGGGTGGGAGGGCAGAGCATGAGGCAGGAGGATTGCCTGAGCCCAGGAGGTCGAGGTTGTGGTGAGCCGTGATGATGCTACTGCATTCCAGCCTGTCCAACCTGGGTAACAGAGTGAAACCCCAATTCAAAAAAAAAGGATTGTGAAGACTGAGCAGTGAAGAATCACAAATTTTAAGCAAACAATAATGACTTATTTAGGGAATTTGTGGTTCAAGAATATAATCAACAAGTGCAATCATTATTATATGTAAGAATCAGAAAATCTGTGCTGCGTTCTTTCAAAGAAAACCAAGCAATTACCTGAGTCCTCCCTGCCCCCAAACCCCAGATAAAATAAAAATACCAGCTCCCTCTTCTAATTTCCCCATTTCCCAGTCCCCAGCATCCCTATTCTTCTGCTGCAAATCCTTAACCCAGGATGTCTTCTCCTTTGCCTACTCCAATCAACCAAATCCCACACATCCTTCTTCACTGCAGTCTTTCGGCTAACAGCTGCCCTGATCATTCCCCAAGAGGGCTGCCTCAACTTCAGTCAAACCAGATTTCTCACTATTCCTCCTCACATGTACATCAGTAGTCTCCATACCTCTCACTGCGATCTACAACTGTCTACCACCATTCAAAATCCATGTTCCTTTCAAATCCAGTTGAAGATCTATAACTCTATAGTCAGTAACCCCTTCAGTAAATGCCTTTAAGCAATCATATACATTTTCTTATCTGAAATATAAAGAAACTTTGTAAATATTTAGTAACTTAGTCTTTTAAGAAAGCAACCCTTCTAAATCATTTCATCCCAAATACTCTGACAAATTTCAGAATGCTCAAATTCTCTAGAATAACTAGCTTTTCAAGGGCAATATTCAATAAAACACAGCAAGAACAATTTGGAAGGATCCTCAGATCTTGCAGTAATTAAACCCAACTAATGGATGTTGACATTAAAATACTTATTTGTCATTAAAATATAAATGATATCCACAAGGAGTCACTGTATACTTCCATCTTATAACTAATAAAACTTCCCAGAGTGTATCATTAAAAGCTGAGTGCATACCTAAGATACATTTATGTATCATATAGTGTGTTTAGACAAGAGGTTTAATTACTAAAACCTAAGACACCTGGAATTTAGTTTGAGCTAAATATGTTGACCTTAAACAAATAACAGCATTTCTAGACATCAAAAGTAAAATAAGGATGAGTCCAAATGAACTCCAAGGATCCCTTCAACTCCAACAACTCTATTTTTCCTGAGCACCAATAAAAGGTATGGCAAGGCATGAGGTTGATACTATTAACATAAATGAAGTTTGGGTATATATGTGGTTTTTGCAACTCACAGAAGCATAGTCTTTCCCTATCAGGAATAAACTGACCAAAAAAAGGCTACCAGGCAATCTTTATAATGACACCGTCATAAGAAAAATAATCTACTAGGAGTATTAGTATTTATGTAACAATCATCTGGATTGCTTGCCAGTTTGAATGAATCACTATCAGCATCAGCTGAGAGTGACTAACAACTAAGCAAGCAAACATTGTTCTTAGAACCCAAGCCAGAGCCTAAATAGGAAATAACTGGATACATTTAAATATGGTAATTTTTTTTTTTAAGTTTTAAAATAAAGTTTATTAGCAAGAAAAAAAAGCAAGACTCAGCCAGGCTCGGTGGCTCAGCCTCTAATCCCGTGCCTTTGGGAGGCTGAGGTGAGTGGATTGCCTGAGCCCGCGGGTTCGAGACCCGCCTGGGCAGCAAGACCTCATCTCTACAATAAATAAAAAAATCTGCCAGGCATGGTAGTGCATGCCTGTAATTCCAGGTACTTGGAAGGCTGAGGCGGAAGGATCGCCAGAGCCCAGCAGGTCGAGGCTGCGGTGGCCGGGAGCGGTCACTGCACTCCAGTCTGGGCGACAGAGTGAAACTTCAACTCAAAAAAAAAAGCAAGACTCATGGCAAAAAGACCTGTCATGCGCAAGTTTTTCAAAGAAAAACCGCCTACATATAGTATTTTTTAATACTATAAACACAGTTAACAAAAGGAAACTTAGGGAATAAAGATAGTTTATTACTTGATCAGATAACTGAAGAAAACTGTTTTCCCCAGATTGAAAAATTACAGACCCAAGTGAAATCATATGTCCCATTATGAGAAAGAAACATTTAAGTTAGCTAACACCAATTTCCCTGGATTTCAAACACTAATATACAGGAGCCAGGAGAACTAATGCAAGTTCAGTCATATGCTGTACTAAAGAGGCAGATGTTGGGAGACAATGTCGTGTAATGGAAAGGATTGTGATGCTACATATAGAATTAAGCTGGATGATCAACCTGCAGATTCTAGAGATATGAGATCTATTCTATCTCTACAAATAGTTTTCCAAGAGGTTTCTTTCTTTTTTGTTTTTTTTTGAGTCAGAGTCTCACTCTGTCCCCCAGGCTGGAGTGTACTGGCACACTCACAGACACTGCAGCCTCGTCCTGCTGGGCTCAGGTGATCCTTCCAAGTAGCTGGAACCACAGGCATATGCCACCATGCCCGGCTACTTTTTTTATTTATAGTAGAGACAAGGTCTTGCCACGTTGCTCAGGCTGTTCTCAAACCCCTGAGCTCAGGGCAATCCTCTCACCTCTGCCTCCCATAGTGCTGGAATTACAGGCATGAACAACCGCACCCAGCTCCAAGTGGTTTCTAATAGAACATGAATCAAAGACAAGACAAAGAATTTCAGAGATAAACCTAGACAACAGTTCTCAACCTTTCCATTTCAATACCAGAGTTACAACACTCATTTCTTGCCACACATCAGCTGCCCTCAGCACAGTCACTCTGGGCACTAGATATTCACATGGCTACAAACCACCTCTAGGAAGGGCTGCTTATAACCCTTCTTGATTGCCAGCCCAGCTCCCCAACCCACTTAATTCTTATACCCTTCCTGAAAACCTAACATTGACCAACTTTTCATGTATAAAGGCCCTTCTTTCCACTTCTTTGAAAGACTGGACTCACTGCCAGTCATTTTACTGATGTCTTTTCCAAAGTTTTCGACACCACTCCCAACCCCAAGGCACTCACTTTATGCATTTTCTCTGCTCCAGGACTACACAGCATTACTAAGTGTCACAAATGGCCTGGCTTGCTACTAATTCATTTATGTTCCTATGACACCATTCGCTTACTCAAAAGTCCTTAGGGGCCTCTTCCCACTACTCACAAGGCAATAAACTGTGTTTGTGAGTAAAAATAGATCCACTGCCAAAAATAGAACAGGGACTATTTAGGAAAATTTCAAGTTCATAATCTGGGAAACAACGAACATCAAAATAAGGAGCAAACAAGAATGCCACCCCTGAGCTGCCAGGCCACGCTGTCAATGTGAAAAGTAATGTTACTTCACCTGAACACTCATCCTGCATAGCTACACACACCTACCTACACATATGCTACTGGCCCATCCTTTAGTTACCCACACCTACATGCTATCAACTGGCTTGCTTCTAAGAGTTTATAACAGAAGAAAATCATTCTCATGAACAATTAAGCAAATCTAATCACATCATAAAATCTTTAAAGTTCTTCGACAGAACTCCACATGTGTGTTTTTTAAGTGAGCAAGAAGAAGAAACTTTTTGGGCTCTTTTCCTAGTTAATGCCCATGAAGTGAGGATTCTGCCTGGCTTGGCCCCAGGCTAGCAAAACACCATCAGATGACTTGCTACAGGACACTATGTAAGAAACAGTCTCCAAACAGGGCTAAGTTGAGCCCCTTATCTTCATCAGGACAAGGCTGAGGTTCTATAAGGCCACATAACAAGCTAAACTTCAAGCACAGAGCAGACATGCTCAGGTAATTAACAACCACTCTAATCTTAATGTCAGTCAAATAAAATAGCTATCCTTGTATCACTGCGACTGCCTTTGCCTGCTTTAGAAAACATTAAACATTTTCATAACAACAGGCAGATATTAAATACAACCCATCTGAATGGCATTACAGGTCCTCGCAGGCACCAGGAATGAAGGCGTCAGAAACGCCACTACAGCAAGTAGGGATAGGACTAGCAGAGATGCTGGGGCAGAAGACAAGTTGCCTTGGCTTGGACACTATAAGGAATTTTACCAGCAACCTAGAAACAAAAATGTTGGGGCCTATAGGCTCATAAAAATACACTACAGGCAAGCCAGGTGTGGAGGCCAAAGTAAGAGGACTGCATGAGTCCATAAGTTTGAAACCACCCTGGACAACACAGCAAGATCTCTACAACAAATAAAAAAATTAGCTGGATGTAGTGGTGTATACCTGTAGTCCCAGCTCAGAAGGCTGAGGCAGAAGGATCACCTGAGCTCAACAGGTTGCAGCTGTGGTAGCCATGATCGCACCACTGCACTCCAACCTAGACAAGAGGCTCCAACTCAAAAAAAAAAACAAAAAACCGTGTGTGTGTGTGTGTGTGTGTGTGTGTGTGTGTGTGTGTGTGTATACACACGCTCTAAAGGCAATATGAAGAAAAAACTGGTGCCAAGGATATGAAACAATTCTTAAAATACTCCAAGTAAAATTTAAGATCGTTTCAGCACTTAATTATACCAGGAACTCAATTCAATTAACTTTGCTTCTTAGGCTAACAAAACTGCTAGCCTTCAAAAAAACAAGCAAAATCTAGATCTGTGAGTCTCCCTCTTATGTTTCTCTGTTGTAGCTGAGACCCATAAGTAGTAGACTGTTCATTCCTTAAACTCATGGGGCATTATGATAGTGGTTAAAGTGGGAACTCAAAATTCTAAATTTCAAGCTCTAAGTTCAAATCTTGGTTTCTCAACTTACTAGCTGTTTGACCATGAGAAAACCAGTCTCTTTAAGTCTCATTTGTATAATGAAGTTAACAACAGTACCTATCCAGAAATGTTATACAGATTAAACAAGAGGCCAGGCTTGGTGGCTCAGACTGTAATCCCCAGCACTTTGGGAGGCCAAGGCGAGTGAATTGCCTGAGCCCATGGGTTGGGGATCAGCCTGGGCAACTTGACCTTGTCTCTACAATACATAAAAAATAAATAATAATAATAAGCCGGGCGTGGTAGCGCATGCCTGTAGTTCCGGCTACTTGGAAGGCTGAGGCTAAAGGATTGCTGAAGCACAGCATGTCAACGCTGGGGTGGCCATGAGCGTGCCACTGCACTACAGCCTGCGTGATGGAGTGAGACTCCGACTCAAAAAAAAAAAAAAAAAAATTAAACAAGAATGTATAATGGAATGACAGCTGCCATTTTACCAAATACCTAATAAGTAAAATGGTAAGTTCCATAAAGTTGGTGAACGTAACACAAAAAACACCATTTGGAGTACCCCGCCCAAACCGTATTTTTGGAAATGTGTGACAATACAGTCTACCATTAATATAAAATCCCAGGCGGGCTCAGTGGCTCAGCCTGTAATCCCATGCTTTGGGAGGCTGAAGTGAGTGGATTGCCTGAGCCTAGGGGTTGGAGAACCGCCTGGGCAACTTGGCGAGACCTCATCTGTACAATAAATCAAAAAATTAGCCAGGCGTGGTAGCGCGCGCCTGTAGTTTCAGCTACTTTGAAGGCTGAGGCGGAAGGATTGCTGGATCCCAGCAGGTCGAGACTGCGGTGGCCGGGAGTGGCCACTGCACTCCAGTCTGGGCAACAGAGAGAGACTCCAATTCAAAAATAAATAAATAAATAAGTTTAAATACACACACACACACACACACACACACACATATATAAAAATCCCAAAACTTTAGGAGGCTGAGGTGGGAAGATTACTTGGGGCCAGGAGTTCAAGACCAGCCTGGGCAACATAGGGAAACCCTGTCTCTACAAAAAATAAAGATTAAAAAAAAAAAAATTCCAAAGATGAGAAAACACATTTTTTGTTTCTTTAAGGGACTGAAGCCTTGACTGTGGGAGAAGTCCTTCTGGAGAAAATTCAGAAACCCAGATAGGCATAACAAAGCTATGTGAGCAGTTTACCACCTGAATTACCTTTTAATTCAGACTATTACAATAACAATGCAGGGCCTTCTTCTTTCCTCAGAGATAATTACATTTGAAATGACCAGTCTGTGAGAAATAGGACTCCCTAGTTTTTAATTATTTTAAACTGTAGTGGCTTTAAGATCTCATACTAACCACAACTTTGGTACACCTCAAAGTCATCCTTGTTACCATCTGCCACGTGGATTATGTCTCATCCTGGGCCACTCAGCCATGCTCTTCTTTTATACTGCACCTGCTCGTTTCCCCACTTCTCATAATCTCACAGCTGTTGGAAGAAGAGCCTTTTGCCACTGATTGGGCCAAGTGTCTCTTCCTCTCCAAATTCTGTTTCCTTAAATTGCAGTTTTGCTTCCTGCACTTAAGATTTCTATAGATTTTCTTCAAGTCTCCCAAACACATTTCCCATCTTCTGTCAGCATTGTAATTTACTGAGTATCAGTGTTAAAACATACCATGCTATCCCAGATCATTTCTTACATTTTATAACTTATAATTACCACCTGTTTAATATAAAACAGTGACCTGGGACAATGAGAGAGACGACTGAATTATGTCTATTCATGAATAGTCACTAGAAATCTATCTGGTTATTTTTCCTCTTTCCTAAATAACTTAGTCTTATGCACTAAATTTTAATCCCACTCTGTAGATTTATTTCACAGTTCTCACAAGATTCATCATATCCATTCTACAGAAGTTATGAATTGTATAAGGTCATTCAACACCCGGCCTGGAAATGACTGGCTTCTAGAATCGTTCACTGTTTCTACCCACTATTACACTCTATGCAAGCTACTAGGTATAAGATAAAGTGAGGTTGAAGATATTCTTTTATACTTTACTTCAGAAACATTTCTTGCCTCTTTAAAGGACGAAGCAGAGAACTATAGTTCTCAATGCACTTGAAGTAACACCATCATTTCCAATGTGCTTACCAACACTGTCCTCCAGGTGACGCTGGTAGAATAAGGAACATCAATTACTACAAGCAGGCAATATTAAGTGACTATTTAAATTATAAAGGAAACAAAACAAATTGAAGATTGAAGGTGAAAACTGACTTGTTAATAACACCAATATTACTAGTTTTATATTTCAAAGGCCCTAAAGCCAAGAGATTAAGTTTCAAGGTCACAGAGTAATGGCATCGGAACATACTCTCAACTCAGGTGCCCTACTCCATTCTCCCTAGAGCAGTCATCACTTACCTGCCCTTCCACCACCCTGAAAAAAGCCCACATAAATCCAGGTTTCTGAAAATCACTATCCAAAAGCTTTAGTTAAGGCCTATGATATTAATAAAATGAGAGCAGAGTTATCCCAGTAACAGTCACTAAGAATTTAATCTACAAATACCAACTTAAAAGGTAAAACGTAAGGTATTCTCCAATGACCCTTACCAAGTCCAGTTGGAAAAATATATTCCATTTAGATAATGAAAAAAATGTTAACATAATATGCATATTGACCAAAAAAGGCTCTTATTTTTAATAGGAGTTACCTTGAGGAATGGTTTATCACAATTCTAGATGACATAAATAAAGCTTGGGTTGAATTTTCAATGCTGGATGTCTTTTCCAAACTATCCACCACTTCAGACAATAGATAGTATAGGCTCCCGACACACTGAGGGTCCATTAGTTTGCAAAACACTATCTTAATTCCTCAGAGACAATTTGTGGACACAACTAGCTAGCTGCAGGAAAGCATTTTTTTTTTAAGCCTGCTTATGAAGACCAGAAATCCACATATTTGCTCTGCTCAAACTAGATCTTATTCTGGTAACATCTCTTCAGTCTTTCCGTATTTTACATCTCAAGTTGCCTCAGGTTTCCAATAGCTCCACAATGTACCTTCTAGCATTTTTCCTTAACCTCAATTCACTTTCCTTCAAGCCCCATTCCTTCTTTCTGTCTTTATTTCCCAAAGGGTTCCTAACACGGCAGCCTTCCAGTCCTACTCACAGGGTGAGCAAGGGTTGCACAAAAATGTCCAGAAAGGCTTCCATCTACATAACCCCAGTTACCACTCAAGTTACTGGGGAGAAGAGGCTCACTTAAGTGTGACTTGCTATGTGGACAGAGGCAGCTTTATCTCAAAGAAAATTAGGCTTTAAGGCCCCTTCCAAGGAAATGGGTTCACACTGTCAGTCCTATTTCTGTAAAATTTGCAAAACTATAGATTAATTTTTTTTAAAAAGGATTCCAGAAAAATTCATAAAGTTCAGCCCCAAATCTATACCATCCACTGGTTTGGATGAAAAGCTCCTACCTAACCACAACAGCATGCCATAGTGCTCAAGTCAAGATCACCAATGAATCAACAAATGGGCCTTGGTGTTGTTGGCTTCCAAACACATAGTTAAATGTGTAACAAGGAAACCACAGAACAGGTAACTCTTCAAGTATCTTTCTTACCTGAATAATTCTAAATATTGGCCTCAACTATCTATTTCATCTTACATGAATACCAAAGGCCTTAAAACAAGCGTTTCAGATGACTGAAATTTTAGGGAGGCTTTGTGTTTGTGGTTTTTAAAGAAATCTCTTCAAAAAGCCAGCGAAAGAACATTAGCTATAATCTGGGGCACTAACTCTCAAACTTAAACCAGCTAAAAATTGCTTATGAGAGCTCGTTAATATGCAGATTTCCAAGTCTCAACCCCAGAATTTCTGAATCTTCAGTGGGTCTAAGGTGGAGCCCAAGGGGATCCTCCCAGGTCTCCGGAGGTTGTATGTACCCTGAATGAACATCACAGGTTGGTGGCCGCAGCTGTAGCTCGAGCACTGTGTGACCTTGACACAGAGAGAAGTAACATTCATTTAGAGAAAACGTAAAATAACGTGAAGAGACAGGGAGAGTGAGATGGTAACCGGAACTCAAAGTCTCAGAAATGCAGGTGGTGTCTAATCCACGGTATTTGCTAGGGTGTGGCTGGGCACGACTCCTTCACCGGAAACCAAGCTGCAGAATCGATTTATGAAGGGTCTGGAGAACCAAAGACACACAGGTTCGTCTCACCTATATGTCACGTCTCATTTTAATTTGACAGCGCAGCATCAAACTTGGGGCTACAGAGTGGGACCCCACGCCCTCCGCCCCCCTCCCGCCCGCGTCCACGCCTAGACGGCAGGAAGGGGGGTCTTCGCACACAAAGCCAGACCCCAGGCGTAAGAAGGTGGAACCTCAACAATTCGGGCGAGCAAAACAGATCGGAACTACAGACTTCAGGTCGTGGCAGGAAAAACGAGGACAGACAGGGCGCTACTAACTAGGTGATTCTTTATTGCAAGTGGGGGAATGAAGAAGGCGAGAGAGGGGTGAGCCCCCAGGTCCGACAGAACAGTCCAGAAGGAGACGTGGGGCTCTCTCTCCCCACACCAGGGTCTCCGAGCGAGGATGCGGCGACCCCCGCTCGCCTGCCCGCCCCC